AAGAAGAAGAAGAAGAAGAAGAAGAAGAAGAAGTGTGACATAAGAAATTTAAGGGGAAAACAACAACAACAAAAGCAGCCGCCTTTGGGAGTATTCGGTGCAACTAGGGATCCGCTCCTGCATGAGGTTGATGCGACTGCTGTCAACGCGTCAAAATTCAGTGAATTCAGTATTCACCCTCTGGTTTGGATTCCCAGTGTAATGCGTACACACTTACTTTTTTATAAGCATGACAATCAGGACGATGAAGATGATGATCATCACGATGAGCACTGCCACGATGACGTAGAGTAGGTAAGTCAGAGAAAGTGCACGGCGTTTTTGCTCTGAATGATAATAAATAGAATTTGTTATGGTAAAATTTCTTGGATTGATGGATGGATGGATGGATGGATGGATGGATGGATGGATGGATGGATGGATGGATGGATGGATGGATGGATGAATGGATGGATGGATGGATGGGTTAAACTAACCTTCTTCTATTTGCCTTTGTCGTTCTTGATGAATTTCTGAGGATTAAAAATAACATTAACAGGTTATTTAAGGTTATTTACTTTGCCTTATAGGGCTCTCCCTGCATCTTTTTCTTACATGTCGTGACTTGGCTATAATAAGCTTTTAAAAAGAATGATGAAGGTTTTGCGGCATGTTGCATGTCTCTTACAAAGCTTGACATTTATTATATTCATATGTAAATAATGTAAACACAGAAGAAATGAATTATGATGGAAAAACGTGGAATGCATGCAACATGCAACAGGCATATTGCGCTTAAAATAGCTTGCCCTTGAATAGGCTTTCCCCATATTAAAATGTCATATTCTTAGTGCAGAATACGCCGGATCCAAACAATTTTAGCCTTGCAGGACCCACTTCAGAGGAGAGGGATGGGGTTGATTGGTACAAAACACATCTGGAAATACAATCTTGTGCCTCATATATTGTATATATATATATATGAGTGTAATGACTTCTATTTGTAAGTAGAGTATTCGCTTAACTCACCATTATCAATTCTATCTGTGATACGTATAATAGATACACCTTTAGTGCCAATGGCAGTGGTGCTGGAATCAACAACCTCGATACCAACGAAAAAGGATTCAGTACTTTCAAAGTCATCATCGTTCTTGATCGTAACGTTAAATATCATCTCAGAAACGTCTTTTGGAAAAGTGATGATTTTGTCACGGGGTTCTTCATAATCTACATTCTTTATTGCTGTGTTGTATTCTACGTTCATGGTCATTCTGGGGGGTAAGAGACAAAAAAATGAGAAGGTAATTTTATTTTAACTATGACAAGAAGACGACACTGAGGAGAAAAGAAGACACTGAGAAGACAAGAACATACCGTGGAGACAAATAGACACAGAGAAGGCAAGCAGGCAAGCAGGCAAGCAGGCAAGCAGGCAAGCAGGCAAGCAGGCAAGCAGGCAGTACTAATACTCACCTAACAGAGATTGGAATAGCTGATTTACCAGTTTTGATTATAGGAACGGAAATATATCCAAGATCTTCTTCAACTGATAAATTGGAATGCCTAAACTCGATAGTAACTGTCAAAAGGAGATAGAAACAGGAGGATATAAGTGCTATCAAAATGTTGTACACCAGTATATTGAATACATTGGGGGACGGGCATACGCGTTTTGGCGCGAAAAATCTGCAGGTAGCCCGACAATATATTAGGAAAAAAGGAAGATCTTTAGTAACTTTAAAGTGCACATGAACCCTTCGACAATACTTTCAGTACTGATTCTACACGAAGTAAATAGTTGATTG